CATTAACACCAAATATACAAATTATTTTTCTTTGGTTAATCTTTTATCCTGAATAGTCTAATGTGATGTAAGCAAACATTTTGACTGTTTCCTGCTTGGAAAATAGCCTGGTAGTGTCCATGCCCAAGCTCAATTAAGCACTGACATGGAGGTGTATGGCAGAGTGGAGGTATAGCTCTACACATTCTTAACCTCAGCATCAGATGGGGGTGAGTGCCCAGCCACTTCACCCTAAGCAAAGGCCGCCTGACACCCACTGGTGGTGAGAAACGTATCTGCCATCAAACCCTAATTCTCTGGACATCCAACGCAACGATTAGTCACTGTACTCACTGGCATCTTCTCCTCTACAAGCGAATCATCAACAGACCAATGGGTTTGGTAATATATTTTCAGTTTCAAATATCTTTTGTGCAGTGGCAACTGATGGACCGAATTTATGGAGGGGCTGGGAACCCAAGTTGACTCATGTAACTGTCATCACCTTGCCCCAGTTTTCCAATAATTCCCATTACCTCTATGCCTAACTGTATTTTTGACAATTTTTAGGGATTCTGTTGACAGTAGCATTCATGGGATTACTGAGTTTATGGACTTCGTCTATCACAGTGCTTTGAAAACTAGATCTGCTTCTAAAACATTGCACAGCGGCANCCACTTCACCCTAAGCAAAGGCCGCCTGACACCCACTGGTGGTGAGAAACATATCTGCCATCAAACCCTAATTCTCTGGACATCCAACGCAACGATTAGTCACTGTACTCACTGGCATCTTCTCCTCTACAAGCGAATCATCAACAGACCAATGGGTTTGGTAATATATTTTCAGTTTCAAATATCTTTTGTGCAGTGGCAACTGATGGACCGAATTTATGGAGGGGCTGGGAACCCAAGTTGACTCATGTAACTGTCATCACCTTGCCCCAGTTTTCCAATAATTCCCATTACCTCTATGCCTAACTGTATTTTTGACAATTTTTTGGGATTCTGTTGACAGTAGCATTCATGGGATTACTGAGTTTATGGACTTCGTCTATCACAGTGTTTTGAAAACTGGATCTGCTTCTAAAACATTGCATTCTTCAGTCATGCAATATACTTTTAACCCCCCCCCCTTTCCAGTGTGTCACCATCTCCAAAGTGCACTCTCCTACAATAATTGAAGCAGGTAAAAATAAGGATGGCCAGGTGTAGGAACTTGAATACAAGTTATGATAGCTGATTCATGGCAGTAAACAGCGTCTGGCAAAACATCCATCCTCTCAGAAGCTACATCTAGTTATGGCAGATGGCCTAGACTGCAGCAGCTGCCAGAACATTTCACATCAACCTAAAAATAACTTTACACTATACGAACTTATTACTCTTGGTGAAAAGTGCAAAGAGAAGCTTGTTATGAACAGCCACAACAGCAGGTAAAGCAACCATCATTACTGGTTTTTACTGTCAAGTCAATTTTAATTTTGGTGGGTTATTTAATGATGCTGTCAGCAGCTAGACTACACAGCGCTGGGTCATAGGATAACAAATGAATTAGGATGGATTTGGAAGGAAGTGGCTGTGGCATATTTGAGGTACCACGCTGGCATTTGCCAGGATGGACTGAGGAAAGACACAAAATTCTGTAATGATTTCTTGTGTCCTGACCAACATTCAAACTGATAAGTTCCCAGATATAAGGCTATTTAGTGCTATTTGCAGACCAGTCTGTTTGATACTGTCCAGACAATGTAACATCAAACATACATATATTAGTGCTTGAAACTAAAGAGGGGCTTATCACCTCCCTCATTATACTTAGATTAGTTAGCTCCGTTTGTTTTTGGTATGGAGAGTCAGAAACAAACCAGTCTGGGTGAGCAGTCAAATTAAAATGACTAGCGCTGAGGGTAGTCTTTTTAAATAAAAACTTTCATGAAAATTCTAAAATGGTTTTCTTGGCTAATCTGTCTTTAACAAGAACTACAGTGCAGTCCAATCACAGTTGAATGTATGGCCCTGCCATTTCCTACCCTTAACACAAGATTAAAACAGAATACATAGCCATAGCTTAAGCAGTTAGTCGCTGGCTTTCCACCGTTGCGGTCTGGTCAAGTGGGATTTGTGATGGACAAAGTGGCGCGGGGGCAGGTTTTCCCTTAGTACTTCAGTTTCCCCTCCCAATCCTCATTCCATTAAATTCTCTATAAGCATTATCACCAGTACAGGTTCAATAGGACATATGGAAGCTGATGTGCCAAGGGGACCTAATTGGATTCCACCTTACACTATGTGAAATCTTTAACTATTGTAATCTATTGTAATCTACTGTAAACAATTTTAAGTATTGTAACTTTATTCTCTTATTGTAATCAGCCAATGTATAGTATCTGACTTGTCCTATATCATGTAACAATGATCTATAGAGACAAAATAAATAAATAAATATACATAACAGACATGATGGAGTTACAAATGGCATGGTAATATGCACGTTCATGAATTTATCACAGTCAATTCAATGTGGCAGGACTGACTCAAGCAAGTGGTGTAACATAATTTTCTGAGATCCACAGACTCATTAATTCTATCTGGAGTAAGGAACAATTTTCTGAAGAGTGCAAGGAGTCTGTTATTGTACCAATGTACAAGACGGGTGATAAAACTGATTGCAGTAATTATCGAGGCGCATCATATGTATCAACTTCATACAGAATTTTAAACAATATTCTTCTCTCAAGGTTAAGTTCATATGTAGACTATTACCGGGGAATCATCAGTGTGTGGTTCAAGGTAACAGATCAACTACCGATCAGATCTTTTGCATTCGTCTGATACTGAAGAAAAAATGGGAGTACAATGAGACAGTACATCAGCTATTTGTAGACTTCAAGAAAGCCTATGATTTGGTTAGGAGGGAAGTACTGTACAATATTGTCATAGAGTCTGGGGTACCAATGAAACTAGTTAGGCCAATTAAAATGTATTTAAAGGAAATGTATGGTAAAATCCTTACAGGTAAACATTTGTTTAGATTTCACAGGTTTCCTATCTGAAATGGTCTAAAACAATGAGATGCTTTACCACCGCATTTCAACTATGCTTTAGAATATGCCATTAGGAAGGTCCAGGAAAATGAGGTGAGACTGAAATTGAAAGGGACACATCAGCTGCTGATCTATGCTGATGATGTGAATCTACTGGGAGATAACACATATACCATAAAGAAAAACATAAAATTTAACTGATGCTAGTAAGGTTAGTCTAGAAGTAAATATAGTTAAAACTAAGTATATGTTGATGTCTTGTCATAAGATTGCAAAACAAAATCATAACATAAAGACAGCTAAAAGATCTTATGAAAATGTGGAAAAGTTCAAATACAAATTTGATTCATGTGGTCATTAACATCATGTTAAATTAGGGTAATGCATGCTGCTATTCAATTCAGACCATGTCTCCTCATTTGCTGTCTGCAAATGATAAAAATATACAAAACTAAAGTTTCGCTTTGGTATTGTAACTTGTACTCTGACATTAAGGGAAAAACTGGACTGAGGGTGTTTGACAACAGGGTGCTGAGGAGAATATTTGAAGTAGGAGGGATTAAATAACAGGTGGTTGGAGAAAACTGCATAATGAGCAACTTCATAATTTGTACTTCTCATCAAATATTATTAGAATGAACAAATCAAGGATGGAATGGGCAGGACATATAGCACACATTGCAGTGGACAGACATAGTTGGGATGATAACATTAAAATATATTAAGAGAAGTAGGATGGGAGGATGTGGACTGGATTCATAGTAACACGGCATTATTATTATTAGCGTTCCATTCAATGCTGGGAATTTACTTTTTTTATTATTTATTGCTAGTGGGTGGGACCAAGTCCCTTCTACTACAGCCACTTCTGGCCTATTGTACCAGCCCCACATGATGAGGGGTGAGGGTGCAATTGGTGGAATGAAGATTGGCAGGGGAAACCTAAGTACTCAGAGAAAACCTGCCCCAGCGCCACTTTGTCCACCACAAAACCCACTTGACCAGACCCGGGATCGAACCCGGGCCGCCGCGGTGGGAAGTCAGTGACTAACCGCTTGAGCTATGGCGCGGCCTGGAAATTTGCTTACTTACTCAGAAACTGTTTTCTTCTTAAGGACGCTTCCGTGGAGCTGGCTATGTATTTATATACACATGGGGCTCTAAATTCAAACGGGAGATGGCTTCGTTTAATTATTATCGAGAATAGGTGGTGTCGGTAATATTAGGGTGTTTTCAGAAGACTGCTGTTTAGTTTTAAACATACAGTTAGGAAATGTACGCATAACAAAAAATTATGGGAAAAGTGAATCTGAGTTCAACCTGACTTTATCACAAAATGTGAATTTCACACTTACTTACCTCATGTATAATCATGGTTGGTCCTACAAGGCACTACATATACAGCATACGATTTTACATGAACTGCGTTAGTTCTTTGCAGAAACACAATTACATTCTCTTAAGTCTGTTCCTTATCCGTTAACTTAAGATAAGACAACAAAGGCTACATGCAAACCTTGTCAGCCAAAGATAGCATCACATAACGTCACCTGACATTACGGCATCTATGGATCAGAGTTTCAGGGGAACACCATTATGCCCATTATGCCGCTGTGTTTACAACAAAAAGCAAGTAAGATGGCGTTTCCTTCGCAACTGAGATACGGCGGGACATTTAAAATTTGGGGTTCTCAAACGGACGTGGCAACATGCTCGTTGATAAACTGCAATAAATGCAATGTACAGTTTTATGATACTTCCAAGACGGTGATGGCAATGTACAACTTTTGTGTGAAATGTTCGTTTGCATCGCTATTTTGTGAATACTTTCAGACATGGTATAAATTTTTGTGCCTGGTGTCCACAGGCAGCAGGGGGGGGGAGACAATACGTCTCCCACCGGTTTTTTGACAAAAATAAATTTAAGAAAAGAAAATTCCACATATTAAAAACAAAAAGTATGCTTACAAATATTTTCTTCTGTGCATATTCTAGGGCAATCAGCAAAAATAATCTTAATAAACAGCTTATGCTATGAAGAAAGCAGTCTTCTGGGATGTGGCACCGTGTAGATGCGGTGTTAACCGACGTTTCGGAGGAACGTATCGCCTCCATCTTCAGGGTAGAAGGAAAAATAAGAAAATCTGCAAGCGAAGAGACAG